AGAACAAAGACACACGAATTTTTACCGTGGTTCTTTTATCCTATATAGGATAAACAACATCCACGTTGAGCTCAAGAAATTCAGGAGCTCGTTGCACTAAAGATTAATACAACCTGATACAAACAGATTTTGCACTCAAACCCACTCTCAAATAGCGTATCTCACTCTCACAACAACCTGAAATCTTTCCTATGAGAACTCTAAATCAAATCCTCAAGACTCAAGGGAAACGCAACCCTTACAAGTGATTCAACCAACCACACAAAGATTCCAGCCAATAAAAGAAACGGAACAGAGCAGATGTTCTTTACTCAGAATACACAAAACTGAAAAATAAAACCCAGCAGCAGACTAAAACGCAGCAGCAAGGTAAAGTCGTTTTTTGCATTCTGTTTTGGGTAGAATAAGTCCTGGCCGTTAGATGCTTTTCTCTTCAATGGTCTGGATTTAGTCTCTTTTAAAACAAGGATAAAACGGCTGCGTTGCACTAAAGATACAACGGCAGCGTTTTTGTGTGCTTCATTCTAACATATATAATACTCATCCTATTCCTATCCTGACGCCACTTCCATTTCTTACCTCATTTTACAAAAATTCATATTGAAATTTTTGCATTGAAGTGTGAAAATTTGTCTTCTACAGTTCTCTACCACTACCTAATAGAGGTCCGAGAAAATGTGGAACTCCCCAGCTCAGAATATATATATATATATAAGTTGGTTCAAGAGTTCCACATTTTTAACACAAGTTTTTGCATAATTTATCCATTGGGAACCATTGATTGCTAGCTTAGAGTTCTTATTAACTCTGATATAGTCTTTCAACTTTTCCATTATAAGCAAAAATTTAAAATCCTGTATTCCAAAATTCAGCTTCTTTATCAATTTTTATCTTTTGCTTTCCCATTAATATTTACATACGTATTCATCTTCTCCCATGCCAATCACATTTTTTTTTTTTTAAATGTGGACCTGTTTATCTAATGGTTGTAATTGGTTTGTTACCGCTATATTATAAACAATAGAAATTCTGGCATTAGAAAGAGTGAAAATTTGTCTTTAATCATCTACTACCTCTAGCTAATAGAGGTCCGCAACAATTCGAACTATTTGTGATTGGACCCAATATGTGAAGGTCGTATTCCTTGTCTCTGGTAGAGAAAAATAGTTAAAAGAATGGTTGGATGTTTCTTGGAGTAGAGAGAAGTACTACCATCTTGAATTCTCTTTTGATTATAGTTAAAAAAAAATCCGCCTGTGCCTGGGTATATAGGCCTGTCACCTCTGGCTAAACCATCTTTCCAAATAGATGAGTAGTTGGTCGCAATAGCAACTTCATGTCACTGCTTATGGTTTTGCTCTGTTCTATCGTATTAATGCCTTATCATTTGAAGTTTAGGGTTCTGTCCAACTTCTTAATCATCTAATCTCTATTTTGACAGGCAATCTAAAACACAAAGATTTGATGGGTCAGGTTGTGAGCTCACAGGCATATGTAGATAATCCAAACACCAATTTTGATGAGGATCAAACCGAAGCTGTTGATGAGGATCAACCTGTTAGTCCGGCAAGTGCGGACAGACAAACAGAATAAATAGTTTCTTGTGCATAGAAATCTTCACTTTTCTTTACTTATGCCTAAATAGTTTCTTGTGTGTGCGTAGAAATCTTTCAGTTTTCTTTACATAGATTGGTATCTGTCATATTATTTTGAGTACAGAATTGGCCTACTCATTTTTGTTTTATGTGGTTTGGTTGAGGAATGCACTAACTTAATCTTTAGTCTTGAGTAGAACCAAATAAAATTTTATTTATACATAGTTATCAATTAAAGTATAAATTACGCAAATTATCATGGACATTGTGACTTTGGTAGTTGGAAAGATATACATATTAATTTGTTTTCAGACACTTTTTAAAGTATTCTTCGCCCGCTCTCTACCAATAAAGAGCCCTACTCTTGATTTATTGCCTGATAACTTTGAAGCTTAAGGATGCCTGCACAAGAATAAGGAGGCTATAAGTATAAATTAGAAGTTATCCAGCTAAATCAATTTCAACGGAAATACAACTTGATATAAACCTGTTACAGTGAACAAGAGGAAATCAATTTGGGATTCTCTATAAATATTTATGTTTGATTTTGACACCGATGACTCGTATGTGCAAAGTGTCAAATTGTTCTTAGAAATTTATACATGAATGATTATGATAATTGAATGCACGAACTAAATAATAAATGAAATGTGGTTTTTAAAGTGGTTTGGATGTTTAAAACGAATCCTATATTCACTGTTATTTTATTATTTTCTGACTCTTTTTTTGATATTGCTTGTAAGGTTTACAAAAATGGAGAAATGCTTTGTTTACAGAGAAAAAATAATAAAGCTCAAATGTTTGTCTAGCTCGCTCAAATCTATGCCCATCTCTCATACACCAAACCCTTCCTTTTCATGAAGAGAGGTGTCTATTTATACCTTTGAGGTCAATATAATGAGTGCTTTTGCAAGTTGTCTTGACACCTGGGAACTACTCCTTAATCTTTATCTTAAAATGGGATAGGATTAATATAAAATATCTCTTGGAGGCAGTTTGAGTTTTTGACAGTTAATATCACATTATCTTTAAGTGCTTATAAAACTCTGATTGGTGGTGCTGACACTAGTGTGTATTTTTGGCACAACAGAACCCCCTCAATTTTTGGAGTGAGTAATTACACTTCAAAAACTCATGTCTTAGATCTGAATGGTTGTCACACGCTGCAGTCTCGAACTGAAGAGCTCAAACCATGCTTGACGTAATCGGGTGTTGAGAGCTAGGACTGTGATCTGAGAGCATGGAGCAATCTGAAGCTGAGTGCAATCTGATAACTAACTTAAAAAGTCCAGTAGATGAAAAACTAGAGAGAGCTAATGTCAGAAGCCCAAATGCACGGCTTAGAGGCCTTAAACGAACAAACCAACTTAAAACAACCATAATTTTTTTTTTATCTAGGAGGAGTTTAAGAGCCCGTAAGATATCTACGGAAAGCTCATTCCCAGCTCTATGTCGTGGCAACTAGGAGCCCAGTTGAGGCCATTTTCAAGGCCAAAATCCTCCGTTTCGGCATGTTTCGGGGCTATTTTGAGTTTTCTACGCGTTTTTTCTGACGTTGACAACTGGTTGAGATATGAGAGCTAGGAGCTTATCGCGATCTGATAGGGGCTAGACCTGAGAGCTTGAGGTGTGTGATCTGAATGATTCACAACGTGCGATCTCAAGCAAATGAGCGAGCTTATGAGCTCGATCAGAGAGCATAAGGAGCTCGATATGAAGCACAAGGAGCTTTAATCTGAGGACTCGAGAGCTCTTTGCGATCTGAGAGCTTGAGAGCTCTTTGCGATCTGAGAGCATAAGGAGTTCGATCAAAAAGCATATAGCACAAAGAGTTCGATTAGAAAGCGTGAAGCTTGATCTGAGAACTCGAGATCAGGGATCTAAGCGCTCGGAAGCGCGATCTATATGATCTGAACGCATGATCTCAACGATCTTGAATGCGCGATCTAAGTGCCTGGAAACGCAATCTAAGAGCTCTGATGCATGTGATTTGCGATCTAACCACGCGATCTGAGAGCTTTGATATGTGCAATTTGCAATCTGACCACGCGATCTGAGAGCTCTAATGCATGCGATTTGCAATTTGATGCACACGATCTGCGATCTGGCCACTCGATTTGAGAGCTCTAGATGCGTGTGATTTGGCCACATGATCTGAGAGCTCTAATGCGTGTAATCTGCGATCTAGCCACGCGATTTGAGAGCTTTGGATGCGTGCGATTTGGCCACGAGATCTGAGAGCTTTGATTCATGCGATCTGCAATCTGGCTACGCAATCTGAGAGCTCTAATGGGTGCAATCTGTAATCTGGTCACGCGATCTGAGAGCTCTGATGCGGAACAGGCTTCAGATTTTCACATTTGATAATGTGAAGATTTTGAGGCTTGCTCGAAAAACACGAAGAGCTGATGTGAATCATGCCCTCCTTCCGGCGCCGAATTATTGATGCTTGATTTTGACACCAACGACTCGCAAGTGCAAAGTGTTAAGCTGTTCTTAGAAATTACACGTGAATGATTATGATAATTGAATGCAAAGACTAAATAATAAATGAGAGGTGGTTTTTAAAGTGGTTCGGATGCTTAAAGAGAATTCTACATCCATTGTTATTTTATTATTCTCTGACTATTTTTCTGATGTTGCCTGTAAAGCGTAAAAAAATAGAAAAATGTTTTGTTTACAGAGAAAAAATAATAAAGCTTAAATGTTTGTTTAGCTCGCTCAAATCTATACCTAGCTCTCATATGCCCAACCCCTCATTTTTATGAAGAGAAGTGTTCATTTATACCTTTAAGGTCAATGTAATGAATGCTTTTGTAAGTTGTCTTGACACGTGGGAACTACTCTTAATACTTATCTTAAAATGTGATATGATTGATATCTCTTGGAGGCGGTTTGAGTTTTTTATTGCTAATACCACTTTATCTTTAAGTACTTATTGAACTCTGATTGATGGTGCTAACACTAGTGTGTATTTTTGGTACAATAGGAAAGATCTAAAATAGCGGAATCCTTGATGTTTTGGAAGTAAGAAGTAGCTTCTTTCAAACATTTACATCCCAGAAAGTGATCTTCTTCTCTGGAACTGGAACACATTTCAACTACAAATTAGTACTACTACAGCAAGAAGGTGATGGTTTTGAGTCAATTCCACTTAAATAAGAGTTACACTCCCCAACAACTGCTGCAATACGCCCGCACTCGAACACATCTGGCCCGATTCTCCCTTCACTTGCCTTTGCACAATGCGCTGCTTGTAGTACTACCAACACTAACACCATCGATGCTGCAAAATCCAAACCCTTCTTCGTATTCATGGTGTGTTTAATGCTACTTGTTTAGTTTTTGAGGAGCTTGGAGGCATTTATAGCTAAGTTGGTTAGTTAATTTGTTAAAGTACATATGTATGCAACACCTGAAAGGTCAACTGCCCATGACGATAAGATAAAAATACAAATAAGAAAAAGTTACAGCATTCTTTATCAGAAGCTAAAGGCCATTTATTATAAGGTACATAAAGTTGACTGATTCTTTAAAAATTAATGTCATATGTATCAAATTATAATCTTTGATAAAAGAAATTGTTCACCAACTTTTCCAAATTTATGGAGGAGGAGCCATCAGGAGCAGTGGCCTCTTCTGCCTTTTTCTTCCACTCTAAGGCCTTGTTTCTCAATTTCTTGCCCTTCTCTCCAGGTCCCATTAACTCTCTCACCAACATCTCCACCTCATCTCTCTTCACATCTTCACCACTAGTAATTTCCAAGCCAAAGCCCCATTCATTACAAGTGTATCTACAATTTGTGGGTTGGTCTCCAGCAAATGGCCAACAAATCAAAGGCACTCCAGCACATAAACTCTCCATTGTTGAATTCCATCCACTGTGGGTTAAGAATCCTCCTGTGGATGGGTGTTTTAGGACTTCCTCTTGAGGACACCAACTTGCAATGAAACCTTTTTGTTTCGACAATATTATTATTTCTTCCACAAACTCAGATTCTAAATCTCCAATCACCATATCATCCCTAATTATCCATAAAAATGGGTGACCACTATTAGCAAGTCCCATTCCAACCTCAATAAGCTGCTCCTTTGTCATAGCAGTAATGCTTCCAAAATTTACATAAATCACAGAATTGGGTTCCTTGGACTCCAGCCAATACAAACACTCAGTTTCTTCTTTCCATAGATTATATCCCACAGAGTTTAACACACGACCACCATCATCTTGATCGTGTATTTGATCGAGAAGCAACTGAAGTGGACCAACGGCTAATACATGAGAAAACATAGATGAGAGAGCATCCAAAACTTGACTCTCTAATGCATCAAATGTATGAATAAGTATTGCTGAAGCTTTAGACGCTTTCTCAGTTGCTTCCATGGTCAAGTTAAACAAAATGTCGTCTGGATCCGTTGATCGAACAAAACTAGGGAGATCCCTTATGCGAATATCTTTCATTCCTGGAATCCACTCTATAACTGTGTCCAATTCTTTTGTAAGATAGCTCTCGTCTGCAAACACAAATAGCCAAAATCTTGTAAAAAGCAAACAACAAACTAGCAGAAAAGCAAAGATACTCAAAACGTTATTCTCTAATGCAAACAAATGTGCATGAAAACTGTTACTAGTTCTCATATCCTACGCACCTTTAAGTGTCCGGAATTGTTTAAATCCCATTAAACTACATGCAGAGATTGTGAAAAACAGTATAATAGGAAGTGCAACTTCTTCAGCAGCTGTGATAGCGAATGACAAGAAACCATCTGAGATTATGACCCAACTGACAGTATTTGAAGATGGAGCATTGATGAGTTTAGCAAGCAGGTTGCGAAATGGGTCCAAGAGGACATGGTTTCGGATTGATTCACAGAGCGCAGACATGTCTTGAGTAGTGTCATCCGGTTGATAAGGGAGGCCATCTGGAATGGTTTCAAATTGAAAGTGGGGGAAACCATCTAAAGAGTTAGCGCCTCTTGATTTGAGTAAGCGACTGTGATTGAACTCAGTGTTGACAAAAGTGATGTCCAAACCTTTGTGGTGAAGAAGTTTTGCTAATTTAAGCATTGCCTTAATGTGACTCTGGAACGGACTCGGAATACAAACTACATGAACCTTGCAACATACTTGTGCTTTGGATTCCATCTCTCTCTCTCTCTGTCCAACTTTGCTAGAGCACTGATTACATACATAACTGTTAAAACCTTATCATCAACCAAGATAATTTATTTTTTATGTTGACGTCAATCAATTCAACACTAATGACAGATGGCAAAGATAACTTGGTGCCTTTCATTAGTGATGTCTTTGGTCCACATATACTCCAAGTTATCCCAACCTTTCTAGTCTGATGTATTAATACGCAAGTAAGATATTATTGGCAGGCTCACTAAGTCAGCTTTCCAACGCATTTTATGATGTTATATCCATATTCATTAAATGATTTTTCTCTTGTCGGCTCAGATTCATTGAATGCAAGATAAATGAACCGAAGCCCTCTATTTCTTTATTTTTTTCAATTTCCTAGGGAGTCTAATGAGTTAGTATTGGTTAGTTGTGACATTACCACGCTTTGATGGTTGTTCCAAAACAAACCATAATAGTACTATAGTTTGGCAAAGTGACTGGTTATTGAATTTGAATATAATTTTTATTTCTAGATAGACATGACTGATTGTTATTATATGGTTAATTTGGTGTCAAACTTGGGTGTCGAACCTTTCAATCCCTTTGTTTTTTAATTCCCCCACTATCAGAGTGGTTAAATTGAGCTGTCCAAATGAAATGTATATTGGACTGAAAATTGCCTAATTCCAGCAGTGAAAATACATGGAATGGATCCCTCAACTCCACTCCTAATCACATGACGTACACACGATAATCAACTTATCAAATCATTGTAGGTGAGTTCCTTTGGAATGAAAACTTCTAAATAAATGTAATTTGGGCAAATTTTGTTCAGCTTTTGGAGAAATGAGGGATAAAGAACTCATTATTTTAATCCTGTGTCCAATACTTTCAAATAATATGAAGAAATGTAATCATGTTAAATGCATTGAACAAACAAGTTAAAACTTCTGAATTTGTCAACTACGTTCAAGACTGTCAATAAAGCTGTAGATTATGCAACAAGTAGTTATGTATTATAGCATGAAGAGCTTATAAAAACTACCCACTTGAGAAAGTACCCATCAAATACACGCCATGGTGTTATTATGTGGTATCCTTCAATTTAGTCGCTATTTTCTTTCTCATTGTCCAAAATGCAGCATAGTAGCAGTTCTGCAAAGAAGATCAAACTTAACAAAGCCAGAATTGAAACAACTGAAGCCACAACTTTCAATTATTTATCAAGGCCTACAACAAGCAAAAATGCGTAGAGGTTCAGATTGTCCTTGTCTCACATACAAGACAGATAGCATTAGCATCATAGTAACAGACATTACACACAGGAAGCATACAGTTTCAAGAGGGACAATTACAGTGTTTTTTATGTCACAGATGATAATTTCCAGATCCAAACTTTTTTTTACTTTTTCCAGTTTTCAAACTTAACAAGCAAAATCGGCATTCAATTTATCAGTATTTTAAATTTCATGTTACTGGATGCTGTTAATGGTAATCATAAAAATATTGGGGTCAATTTGAGACAATGCTACAGTTCCTGTAAGAAACTGAAAACCTCTACTTCGGAAATCTAAACCAGAATGTAGTATAACTAAGCTAAGACAACCATTTAGACTTAACATTTAGAACATCTTGACGATAAAACAATTAGACGACCATTATCAATAATTTCTCCATTTGTGTAACTAAGAATAAACCAAGATTTAAGGCCCTTCTATTAAAGTGCATTATTATACAAGGGGGAAAGGAAAATGATACAGACAAAGAAAAATCCCAATGCACAAAGTAAAAGGCTTACCTGCATCATAGATCGGGGATTTGTAGTGTAGGTTGTCCCAATTGTGCTTTCCTTCTGAATGTCATGACCAAGTTAAATCACACACACAGATAATAGATTGCCAAACAAAAATTCAGCAACGGATTAGCATGAGACTGACATTACCTCACACTCAAAACCATAGTGTAAAGCAACCCTCTTTACATCTTCCAAACTCAGTTCAATAGAAATTTCCTAGAGAAGGGGAAGAGGGAAAGAAAGAATAAACGACAACACAACCTCAGCCTGAGATATATGGTTACCAAATTCAACATCAGCAAATGCATAAATTAGCACAAGCTACAGAAATAAAGCTTACATCCTCCTCTCCATAATTATCTGCAAAGTGATAAAGTAGGGGTCCCAAATTTATCCAAACCTGTCAGTAATAAATTTATCCAGCAAATCAGCAAAGATCAAGTAAAAGGGAAATAAAAAAAGAGATTCAAACAGCTTGAAAAAACTTACTCCACCATCTTTCAGAATTTTTGATATTATTTCAATGTATTCAATAATGTTGTGTGCAGTATCAATAAAGAAGCAAGTTACAACTGCATCCCAAAAGCCTGCAGCAATCAGAAAAATATAAGAATTTCATACGAATCTAATATAAGAACAAGTAAATACATGGTAGTATTCATATACTTCAGAGACTGCAAGCATGACGATGTTGTGAGTCAAAAATCAAATTGCTTATGCATGGCAGCAGCAGACAACAATATAACAGGTGTAACATTGAACCAAACATTCAAAGTAAATAGATACTATTTTAATATAGTAATGATAGCACCAAGTGAAAATAATTAAAAAGAATGCACAGCTGGTTTTAATGCCAATGCTTTAATTTGGCACAAATCAAGTGATGAGAGACCTACCGAGGAGATTGAGTGCCAACTAGTATTAAGTTAAATTTTCTGTCCAGATGTTGGTTTTGAATGGTTTCATTCTTGTTTAATTTTATAAATTAAAGATACTTCAGGAATATCCAGAGTTGATTAATTATGAATAAGTCAAAGCAATTCTCCCAAATCAACCGGAAACAAGGTTTTAGACAATTTCGGCTATTGTTCTTTTGGGATTATGTGACCTAGACCTTTATCTTCCTTTTTATTTCTCTCTCTCTTTAATTTCAGTACATTAACCTTTTTCAATCCTTCCATCTGATCTATTTACTTATTTTTCTCAACCATGAAATCTTAACTTCTACAAGCCAAATCACTACCATAACCTAAACAAAACCAACTGAAAGTAAAACCATGAGGCACCAAAATTTTTGTAATCCGGGCCACTGTTTACAGGTTTTAGATCAGCCCCCAGAACTCCAGGCTCCTTTATCATAGTTCCTTTAACACAAGACCTTCTGTCGTTTTGACTACCAGTTAACCTTCAAAAAGGCTCAAAAAGAAACCTTGCACCACAGTCCTACATCAATTTTTACCAGTGTGCGAATAGTGTGCAGATATTCTTATAAACAAAACAAACATATGAATGCTTCAATAGAAGGAACTACAAACAAAGTTACTACCATATCATAATTAGAATTTGTTATTACCTTTTCTCTTCCTCTCTCTCTGCACAATTCAACAATAAGCCATAATAAGCTCCTTTCTATCGACATTTTCTCTTTATCTACATTCTGAAGGAATTTCCCCCTAAATAAAAGCTGAAAACTGAAATCAAAATCTGACTATTTATTCCTATGCTCTAAGTTTTTGTATTTATTATGGGAATTTTAATGAAAGAAGAAAGTAAAATTCCCAACAAAAAAGGATCCATGCTAGGGCCAATTGTTGACAATATGGGTTTATGGATTTATTGCAACTCTGGTAAGGCTGCAAGCAATTCTCTGGTTCAAAACCAAAATTCATAACTATTAAACCACTCTTCTGGTTAATCAATATGCATTTATGGATTTATTGCAATTGTTAGAATGCTTTTCTTAAGTTTGGAAATTGCTTTCATCTATACATTATAAAATGTCATTGCCCTTTATTTTAGCATTAAGAGCTTCCTTAATATGAATAACTTAAAAATCTCACATTTCCAGAAAATATATTCTTTCCATAATTCCAGCAAACAAACACAACCTCTAAAATCACCATATGAATGCCTTTCCCTCCTCATCCAATCCCCTATTAGACAAATGATGTTGCAAATGTGGAGAAGCCCAAGATTTAGAATCTGACTTCATACAAACAAGTGATGAGGGAAACCCATGCCACGGAAAATGCAGATAAAAACGATATAGACTATAAAGATCATATCAGAATCCAAAACATTGATAAATCTTAATGTTGGCCTATCCTAGAATATTTGCTCATGCATCAAAATTTCACACCAAGTTCATGGATATTGTCTAAAAGGAAATACCATTTAAAGCATCCTTGTTTTGTTGTTCATTAGTATTACTTATTTCACCCTTCAACAATCAAACATATCAAACATTAAGAAATAAGAGACATAATAAAGAAGTGATACTAATTATCCTACCTTCTTGGCTTGGATCATTATAGACCTCAATAAAGTCACCGCCACACATAGAAAAACCTTCAGTAATCCCTGCACTGCTACCAAAGCAAGTCAATTACCCAGCAGCATACAATGAAATAGGATATCAAGCATACAATTGCATATCATTACCCAGACAACAACCTTTAAAAAAATTGAATGCCCACACCAATTGAAAGGGTCCTTGAAATTGATACATGTTAGAAAATGGCATTCACCAAGCATATTGAAGTGAGACGAAATAATCTACAAGGTATAGCAACAGTCAATAGTTCAATCCAACATTTCAAAACAAATCTTCCAACGAGATATAAAATCTGAGTTTTGACAGATGAACATTAGAGAGGCCAACCAATTCTATAAATAAGAACTGATTATAATTACTGATGAATCATGACAACCATGAGACACCTCTGTTTACAGGTAAAGCCTTGGATATTAGGGATGGACAATCTTCCATTCTTCTTAAGAATTCTTTAGTTTGGCAACTCGCAAAGCTTCAAATATGTCAAATTGTGGGGAAACAGTTCATGAAATTTCAAGACAACAAACAATATTGCAGCACTGAAAAACTTTGAGAGGGAAAAAGAGACATGTATAGAAGTAGTTCACACCTTGCTGGATGAATATCAGGGATAGCAACAGGACGCAGTTGGTCACTATCAGAAAGCGAATTGCAATTGCTGTGTATCCAAGGATATATCGTCCACTCCCCAGCATTTTGAGTACTGAACAGATCAAACGAAAGAAATTATGTAACAGAACAAACAATTTTTTTTCAGAGATTAAATTTCACTAAGGAGAACAATACAAAAAGGAGTGTGACTAGGGAAAACTTGTCATTACTGATTAAGAATGAAACTTGAGCATATCATCATGTAGTATGAAAATTCATTTCCCTGGCTCATAAAACCTGGCATGCACCACAAGAGATGTTAGGTGCCGCATAAAATTAAGCGTAGTACTTGTGAGAATGTGACACCAAGCATACCTAGACATGAGATTTCCAAAGCCAACCGCCCAAGTCCAGCACCAGGAACTAAACAGGCAGGGGGGCTGTGAACAATTTTATGATATCAGCAAACACAACAACAGATCAGAGGTCACTACAATATGAAAAGGTAATAGAAAATTACATGATCACAGCACAATAGCAATATCACTTTTAAAAATGTTAAAAGCAGCAATAAATCCTGTGTACCTTTCTTTAGAGCGAATAGGGAATAGAGCATCAAGTTCTTCAAGAATAGGCTTGTAGCATTGATCACGCTCTTTTTTTCCCTGCATCAAAGATAAAAAATTAAAAAATTGTAGATGATAACTCCTACACTAGAAGCCAATAAAAAGAAAGCATTACCTCTGCTGCCCAGTCTCTAACTATATTCCTTATTATACATCGGACCTGAAAATAATGATTATAGTACATTTTGTGAAATCATTCCATTAAATGGCATCCATTTTTAAAAAACTGGGAAGATAATCACAGAACAGGAAAGAAACATATAATGCATCCAACTGCTTACATCAGTACCAGATGTTATCATAGAATATCAAGTGAAAGAGATCTCACAGCAAGTGCATTTATATATCATAACAAATCAAATGATTAGAATGTAATGCAACACTCCAAGGTGCTGGTAAGAAAAACTTATGTTGCTTTTATCAGCAAGAGTTATTGTGGTCCACCGCATCAACCACTGTAATTATAAAACTTAAACCCACAAAGGCCTTCTTGACATTTCTGCTTCAATTACCAGAAAATTCATCTTAAGTTAAATTCAAATAATCCCTGTGATTTTCCAAGACGTGCTAAATACAAAACTATTCCAGTTCTCAAATAAGTGATATGGCATTGGACACAAGACAGCCAATATTTGACTTTTTGTTATATATAAATATATGAGACCTGGACATAAAAGAGCACATTCAGCTTCAGTGAGAAGAGAAGCACTATACCTTATCAACATCAACTAATGGAACATTCAACTGAAACGATGGATCCAACCAGTCGCACTGTGAGACTACCTGGATATATGAAACCACCAGCAAGGAAATCGTTTCAATAATAATGTAATCCAACAAATTGGAAGTATTAAGTGAAAGCATGGATAACTTTCTAGTCAAACAGGTATAAACATTTTGCAATAGGATATTCCTGCCAGCAGGATCCACATAAAGGGAAACTGACCCTAAATTCTGTCAGCAAAGCCATGCTTGTGGCTAGTATCTAAGATTGTAGATCAAAGTTGCCGAAATTCATTCTTTTTTTATTCGTTTACCCCTTATAAACGAGCAAAATCAGGCAAGTAATCTAGAATATGTTGCATAATGGACTTTTTTGTACATTCATTGGATGAACTACTTTTATTTTGCTTCACTTCAGCAATTCCTCACAATTGTATCCAGTAACCTCAACAGTAATAGGTTCCTAAATTTATAAACTTTAGGATTATATTTAATGGGATAGAAATATGAGTAGGACCAGGAGGGAGAAGGGAGAAGAGGAGGGGAGTACAGCATAAAGCTGAAAATAGAATTCCCAGAAAAAAGAGACAGAAACATTCACACAAGAAACATATAGATACCCATGGAGAGTCTAAAGAGCCATCATGTTATCACTATAAAACAGGTCTAATTAGCCAATGACAGAGGAATAACAAGCTGAGATGAAGCAATAACATTACATTTCCATTATCAATAGATTCAACGCTGCAACTTTGTTCCATCCCCTTTTTATTTTCCAATTCAGCAGGAGTGTTTGCAGCTTTAGACTCACTGGGAACTTCAGTTTCAACCTCCTGTTGTTATCTACATAAGTCAAATTTCATAATGAAAAAGACAAACAAAATCCAGAAAATGCAGCCGCAGCCATTACCACCAATATATATATATATATATATATATATATATAATGGAAATAAAAATCTAATACGGTTATCTAATTGTTTATGAGACCTTATTTGTAGCCATTTCTTTTGTAGTTTTGCAAATTGCTTCACTCTTTTCCTCACAGCGGGCTTCATCAGCCTCAGAAGAACACATTCTTACACTAGTTGAGGTACAGAGACAAGAGTTAACATTCATGTCTTGAGATAACAGATGATCATCCGGCTTACATTTAACATGAGAGTCCTCACAAATATCCATGTCCTGGCTCATATCAAGCGGGGGATCAAATGCCTGCCAAATAAATATAAATTAAGGATTGCAGCATCAAAACATCAAAATAAAAAAGATTAAAAATAAAAAGAGCAGAAAAACAGACCTGAAGCATAGCGAAAATGAAATAAGAATTTATGGAAATACATCTGCAGAATGAAAAGCCAAACTAGACAGTCAACCAATACGTTTAGACTCTTCAGCATTCAATAAGAGCATATTCAACAATGAAAATTTACATACTTACTTAGTTTCCGAAACTTGGTGGGGTAGTGAGATATTAAAGCCTGAAAAGCCATTAGAAAAGCTTAATCAACTGAACAAGAAAAACAGAATAAAAAATTAAAACAATTTTTAAAATAAAATTAACCTTGTGGTGCAGTGGAAGCTTTTTAAAAGACCTTTCGTATCTTCTAACATCTTCTTCAGCGGCTTCTGGATAGCTGAATTCAATCCATCATATTAATCAGAACATTATATTAATAAAGAGAAAATATAAATAAGAAAATAAAAGATAAACGCACTTGAGATAGGCGCTAATGATACGCCTGAGGGATTTAACTTCCATGGCTTCTTCAAGCCTTCTTTGACGACATCGTTCCTCGTCTTCCTCCATCCCTCTTTCTTCTACTCTGTAACTCATTTGCTCTTTACTCTCGCTCTCCACCAGGACGACCACCACATCTAACAATTAAAGGGTTTTTGAATTTCATTATGGACAACTGATTGGCCCATCGCATCTTATTGGATCTCATTATGGGCTACTATTCAGCCCATCACACCTTATAGCACGAAGGCCCATAAAAATAAGGAAATTTAATTAGACTTGAAAAGGTAAACATTACCAGGAGAAAAATACACGTTTATGAAAACAATTAAAGAAACGACACACGTTTATGTGTCATGGATTTTTACACAAGTTTATCTCTTAAGGGTTATTAATATTTTTTAATATCTTCTTCCTTTTTTTTTTTTTTTTTAAATTTTTACATCATATAATCAAACAGATTTACATTTATATCATTTTAAAAGTTGAATTAAACGATTTTATATCATTAAATATTTTAGTTTTATCTTTTAGAAAATCCATATCCTCTTTAATAGTCTTTATAAATATTTGTCTTCATTTTGATTTTTGTTTTTTTCCAATATTACTATTGGTTGCCATTAACATAATAAAAGTTAATAATTAAAGGTGGTTGATTATCATTGTGGTGGTTATTGTGATGATGATAATAATAAATCGATAATTATGTTAATGATAACAATGAGCAGATGGTTAAAGCGGGTATGAATAATTAATTTTTAATAAAAACAACTACCATCATAATTACAGAAGTTTTAATTTCAGAAAGATTTACTCACAAGAACAAACAAAAAATTATCACCCACGGTCAAGTCACGAGAGAGACAATTTTGAAACAATTTGATTGTACATCATAATAGGAGTGACACAATTTGGTGCAAGAGATACAAATCATCTGTGATAAACAAGTCAATAATAATATAATATGCAAATCACAAAGATGAATCTAAGGAAGAATTACAGAAGCTTAATCTAACAATTATCGATGTCTCCAAGAATCTTTTTTTTTTTTTTTTTTTATTATTTGGGTGGGGGGCGGGGTGTTAATACAGGTTTTTAAGAAATCAGAGGAGCTCCTTTGGCTTGTCCCCAACAAATACAAATACTAGAGAAGCATAATCACAGAGATGTCTTTCGAAATGAAGAGAGTATGGAACAAAAGTGAGTTTTGAAAGTTTTTGTGAAACCACCACCTGTACATTCTATCCCCCTATTCCTTCCAGTTCTGTCCGGAGTTTCAACACAGAGCACCAAAATAAAGCTCCCCAGAAGATTAAAACTTCCAGTCACTAACTCCATCCACCATCATTTCCATCATAATACATATTTTATGCATCATAAATTCAAGATGAGCATTTAACGAAATTAAAACAGAGAATGCTAAACCCATAAAACAGACTCCCTAATTAAATGCACAACCCTTACTTTCCGGGTACACGCTTCATATTCTGTTTCTATGCAGATTCATTTCCTCAATGCATCCAAGAGAATTTTGCAGCCATCGCATTGATATTTTGCAAAACACATTGTCATCTAATTCTCCATTAACCCCGCACTGACTCAGAGATTATTTGGCCACCACGACCAGCATAGGCAATGGACCCTGCATTGGACTCGCATTGGTTGGCAAAATTTCTTAAAGAATTCAGCTGTTCCTCGTTAGTGTGCGGAAGACTAGCACGAAGAAGCTCCCTGGGCATTTCCCGCTTTATTGCCTCTGAATTGTTTTCAGTGCTTGACTGGGATTGCTTTATAGTTTCATACTTACTCATGCAATACTTGGTAAGAAGATCAAAAAAATTGTCAAATGAAGCATGCCATAGGTCAAGGTTACGCATGCTACCAGCAGCATGGGCTAGCAGTTCACTTGCTCTTTCAAGAACTGATATTAAAATAAGGGTGGCACAATCCCCGGCAGAGCTACCAAGTGGGCGGAGCGGTGGCTGCTCTGAGGAACAAACAACAGCAATAAGACAAGCACTGAGTGCACGAAGATCCATGCCATTAACACATACACAAACTGTCTTTGCAAGATTAGTAGTTGTCTGAGCTGCAGCTGGATCAGAGGGAAGGCCACCAAACAAAAACCTCAAATGACGGAAAATAGCCATACAGACAATTCGGGTGAGTTCACTGCCAGGGATTAGAAGCTGAAGAAATTTGATGAAAAGCTTTCGACCTTTAGCAAGAGAGACCAACCTTAGAAACACAATGTCATCCTTCATGGCTAGCCCAACTGTCTGGCCACTTTTCCCAAGTGGATCAACAAGCTGAAGTGAAGCTGCCAATCCCTCTAGCAGCATCTGGCGCTTCTGTTTGAGCTGAGCCCCACCATCCTGATGCTGACTAAACTGTAGGAGCCGGTCAATATCATCAATATCAAGAAGAAGACAAAGACCATCTTCAATGGTGACTCTAGCTGCCAGCATTGGCTCCTGTTCCAGAGGCTTCTCAGAGGCTTTTTGTTCAGTAGTTCCATCACCAAGACCAGATGGAGGATCAACATCAAGGAGAGGACGAGGCCTACGTATAGAAGATAGGGGAATTCTCCCATAAGCATCAACATGAAGGTGATGTTCCACACTGTTGCGGTTTCGAGACGGTAGCTCCTTCAGGTGTGAAGGGAAAAAATGATTTTTCACCCTCGATCCAGAAGATTTTTTTGCAAGGCGAGCTTGGTGGTAATAATCATCTATGTACGGATCACTGCTATGTGTTGCCACATGCTGCATTTTAAGTATACTCTCTATCTCTTCAGCTGTCATATACTTGGACCTGAATTGTACCCACCCACTATCACTCTTCTGGCTACTATTCTCAGAGCCTTGGGAATAGCGCATGCCATGTCTGCCTCTCTGAGATGGCTTTGGTTTTTGCTCCCTAATATCAGACAATCCATGCATCAATTTGTGTGAAGAAGGATGTGAACTGTATAGTTGTGATTGCAAAGCTGCAAAGTGGGCCAAAGACGGTTGAACTTGATGATGCAATCTCTGCTGTTGTAGCTGCTGCTGTGCTGACACTAATTGCGGAGACATCAGGCCATTTTGGTACGGTAACTGTTGCTGCAATATGTTGTGTAAGAAGCTAGAGTGATCCCCATGTAATAAGCCAGCATGACTAACCCAGTGATTTTGTGGTCGGTTAGTAAGAGAAATGCCAGGAGATGTTAACTGAGACAAATTGCCACCATAATGCAGCCCATGAGATAAGCCAGCCCGACGAAGATTAGAGTTGGATACAGGAGAGAGGTTCGGTGCAGAAAAGGGTGACTGAGGTCCACCAGCAGAAGGAATATTCAGATGACGTGGTGAAGCCTGCTGCGATCTGCTACCAGGAGGAGGAAATGACGTGAAACTTGATTTGGGCACAAGAATTGGTTCACTAGAGAAGTGATGCAGTGGTTGCTCCTGGGGATAAGAGGATGTTCTGTACAGGGGTTTTGATTCTGATTCTGGAAAACGAGCAGAAGAAGGTTGTGGTTGTGATGACCATCTCTTTCCGTCTTCAGAGTTTTCAGCATCAAACATTTGCTGATCAAACCAGCTCCCAAATTCTCCATCTTGTGCCCAGTCGGTAGCAGATGAACCTGAAGCGAACTTGCTGTCAGATAGGGCTAGCAAGTAGCCAAGCAACTCAAAATATTCAGAGATATAGTGATGAAACTTCACATTATTTAAAGAATTGTTAAGCAAAGTATTCAGATATATAAATGCTAGTATTTACCACTGGCACCACCTAGGGAAAAAAAAGCAGAGTTTCCAAAAACTCCAATCCCTTCTACCCAATAAATCTCACAAACCACAAACTGAATGCCACTATAATGTTTCACATACATATTGCACTACTTTCAACATATTTATATATTAAGGGAAAAATGGAAGGGAATCAACCCAAAGTAGAACTACAAGCATCCGGCAAATTAATCTTCAATGTTCGGACTATTAGATTCAACTAAGTTTAAGCCTTTGGGGTAATGGTTCCTCAGCATGGCATCAAAGCAAGTTTGACTGAGAAACCTCACATTCAAAGGCCCCCATTATATAAATTTAATTATAGCAAGCAGTGTTTGGGTAAATTATATTTGATACATGTCTAAAGCATGTTGATTCAATATACCTTACAGTTAAGGGGGCATGTTAAAAATTAAATCTACCTCAAAAGTGAGATGGCATAATAAGAAGCACAAAATTATAATAACAGAAAAGAGAGAAGTACAAAAGTGGATCAGTTATCCAGTAAGGTCAGATCAACCCTTAAGGAGGCAAAAACTAAATAAATATGAGACCCGAAAAATTTGCATGGTCTGTGCAGAATGACTGATCACCATAGCATATGTAATTCCATAAATGAGAAACTAAACCTTCATCATGGAAGCAAATAAGCATTACATTCATGACAATAAGCTTATATGTGTCATAAGAAAAAGACGGCAAAACTTTGCTTTGCTCCATAATACGTAGTATCACAGTCAAAACAAAATTGAAATAAATTGGTAAAGATTCATTAAATGAAGCATACACTTCAAATTATAACAAGTATGTGAATGTTCATGGCGAGAGAGAGAGAGAGAGAGAGAGAATGTTGATTTTCATACACTTGCAAGTTTTGCTCAATGGTCCACCGATGTATGTGTTAACATAATAATGCAATACCATACAAAACTAGGACTTACGATTTTAGACACACAAAACTAGAACTTGCTATTTTAGACATACAAAACTAAAATTTACATTTTAGACAAGTTAAATCATAGCCTAAAAGCTCCAATAACGAACACTTGTTTTAAAAAAAAAAGGTTGATATACTAAATAATACATGATTACATAAACAACAATTTTATGATCTCAGACACAAGAATACACCAACTGATGATCAAAGTTAAAGCAAAGAAATTGGCTATTACCATTTACTATATCACAGTTGTGACCTAAGACTACATAAATAAATTTACATCATTTTTTTTTTCTTTTTTATAGGAAACATATACCAGATTATCCAAGTAATGGCCTACAATTCAGCAACTAATACATATTTGAAATTTGATAACTGTGATTGAGTGTAAAATGCATTGAAACATGAAGATTCTCAATTTACTCCAAATGATGATGACAAATGATAAAAGACAGTTTTTACTCACTTTCCCTCGAAAACGATCCTGATCTGTCACCAATTACACCTGGATTTCGTGGTCCTGTGACAACTCTGTTCAACTGCACAAATAAACAACCAATTTGAAAAAAACCTTGAAAAAGAGGTGACAGCACCCAAAACCTTAATATTACCCAATAATTATAAAAAAAAAAATAATAATAATAATAATAATAATAATCAAGCTACAATAATATAACAGCAGCAGCAAGATTAGAAAAACCACTAACAATTGTCAAGTAGCCATTAATCATCCAGTATATCATGTAACATAAATACACTTGAAGGTTCAGTAAAGCAATGTCAAAGGTATTCAGCATTCTAAATGAAAAGAGTGGTGTCTGCTTAATCACATAATAAAACTTTAAGCTTCTAACTTATGAGTAGCATATGCCTCTACCACTCAATGTAGAAGAGAAACTGTAAATCCCTTGCAATCAACATATTAAGTTAGCAGGTTCCAATCTAAATGTAATTGGCCGTCAATATATGAGAAATTAAAAAATTTAATCCAAGCTATATACGTACAACAAAACATCTCTTTTCAAAAATCTGTTCAAAAGTATTACCAAGTATGCCCATCCCCAGGTGTTTTGTTTTCTATTTACATGTAGTACACAGCTGTACTCCTTTCCCAGTTTCTTTACTAGTCCAATATATATGTTTATATGCTAGGCCAAAATTATTGAAAATGAAGAAGAGAATCTGTAAGAGGGACATGAGAAAGAACAATGAATGGCATAATACCAGAGTACAGCACCATGAACTATATAGTTAAGTGAGAAGACAATTCTTTCTGGTATTATGCCATTCATTGTCACTTGAGACAGACTCTTTAAGTTTAATTAATTTTGAAACTTAAAAGAGTCTTAATCTAAACTTCATGCAGCTTTAGATGTGAGCAAGGCTCAGATGGTTTGAAGATCCAAGTCAAAAATAATTAAGAGCTAAAACAGGTTTTTGTAGGAATACTGGTTTAGGAGTCATGAATACATTTGGATGCAGGTGATAACTATAACTAAAACAATTGTGGGTAAACATGATGATTAGTTTACTTACACAATAATAAAACTTTTAACACCTATGTAATCTGTATTTTTCAATCTTTGATCCATCGAATATCGTGTTATTGGACCATTATTGAAGGCTGAATGCCTAGTCTTTCTTTCTCTCGATCTTATCACTTTTTTTTTCAGTCTCCTTATTACTATTCTATCTTGTCATGATTTCGTCTTTAGTAACCCCAATTCACTGCACATGTCACCATTCAGAAGGCATGTTACATGTATATTTCACAGTTTTACTCAGATCATGATCTTACATTTTCACCATCAAAATTTTTCCTTGAAACCCTAATTCTGTTTCAAAAAGCTTACATTCTTATACTACATGCATCATGTATCATCACCAGTAATGCCATCAAGTTATTATGAACCTTGCTAGATGATCCCCAAACTTCAATCCCTTGCAAGACACCTAACCCAACCAAAATCTCATGTCAAGGCGGTATAAGCACAACTAGTGGACTTCATACTAAGCCAAATCCATGCCAATTCTGAAACTCCAAGGTACATCAATTAATTCTCCCCTGCAAACACTCATCTCCTAGTTCTAGCATAATATCAAATTAACTCAATTCCCCATCAAAAGCTCATGATATCAAGATCACAGAACACTCTCACCAAATATGGGTCTGTATGGGTCTGTTTGGTACACTATTTAGACACTTTTAGAATAATTTTGAAAAAAGTTGAGTTTGGTGTTTTACGAGATAAGATTTGAATTTGAAAATGTGTTTGTGTCATCTCTTAATAGCATTTTTTGAAAATATTGTGATTATATTTAACCCCTAGGTTTGTCAATTTAACTACACACCCCCACAATAAAAGTTTATAATTGACAAAAACACCCCACTCACCCACATATTACCGGCTGCTGACCACCACCATCGAAGGTGGCGGAATCTATCAAAATGGAGCACAACCAGCTAGATCTGGCAAGTGTGCACGATCTGGCATTTTCCAACCCAATCTATAACCCAAATATGACTGTTGACAGCCATATCTGGCGAGGTCTGGTTGTCGTTAACGGCCAAACGACATCCAAGATATCCGGCCGTCAACGACGGCCAATAGCCAAGATAGGCCGCCATTGACAACTAGATTAGCCATCAGCGACCAGATCTTTTCATAGATCGGCTGTTGCCGATCAGATTCTAATGGATTTGCCGGAAAAGGTCAAATCAGCACACGACGCCCAGATCCAGTCAGTCGTGCGCCATTATGGCGTGGTAGCAACAACTATTGGCAGGCGATAGTGGCTGGGTTTGTGGGGGTGTTTTTGTTAATTTTATAACTTTTATTGAGAAAGGTAATTGTTAATGTTTTAAGTTGAATAGAATAGGATTGAATTTTGAAGAGAATTTTGAATATTGAAACAAATATGTATTTGGATAGGTGGGTGAAAATGTTGTACCAAACAGAGCCAATGTATTTGCTATTACCATGACTGATACTATATTTTATGCCATTACAGGATCAGTTACAGGATCAGACACACAAAGAACAGCAATTCCAAAATATAGGGATACAAGGGTGTTTCCACAGAAGCACCTTTGCGTTCTCACACTGTACAGTGAATCATTAAATTGAATATTCTTGTCCTTTTATATCTATAAATGCATGGTCTTAAAATAGAATATAGAAACTTCAAACAATTTAATCTTGTCATATCCTAAGATTTGGGTCAGCGAAAGGTCTGACAAGACAACACCTGTAAATGATGCCCATTACTGAGCCAATGGAAAAATAGTTATTGTCATCTCGACAGAGAGGAATCAAGTACAATGAATAAATTACATGGACAATCTTGTATTCCAGCATATCTGCAAGATCATAAAATGAACGAATCTGACCTTCACAAAAGTAGAAAATGAAAGAATCTGACCTTTGCAAAAGTAGTATTATATATCCACATCGGTATAGCCCAAAACCTGAAGAAAAAGCACGGGTGTGTTATGCCATAGAAATTGAGAATTTGGGGTCAAAATTTAAACTTAAAAGTGATTAATACTATTAAGAGAGACAAATTCAGAAACTCTACAAGAAAGGCAAAGAATGTTATCAATATTTAATCAAGAAAAAAGCTGCAAGTCTCATGTATATCAGCAAGCCTTGGATAGCAAAAAGCATGCAAAAAAACATTCGTGTCACTTATATCTTCACATGAAGATTAGGGAAAGAAGAGGACACACTTCCATGCATGTTAAATCAACCTGAAAGGCCTTAACATAATCTCACCAGTACCCCTCACCAGCATTATAGTCATATAGCTACTTACATCACACAAGACGTTCCACCAATAAGCAGCATAACATTTATGTAGTAAAACTTCAATTTCTAGCCACTACTCAATTTAACATGAATGTCTGATATTCTCTCAAATGTGGCCTAACAATTGATTACGAAAAAACTATTTAAAGATAAGGCTTACCTTCTCCATGTTAAGCTGTATACCTGAGACTAAGCTCAAATAGGAAGACAATTGTAATGCAAATAACTTCATAGTCCCATGCAGCTACTAAAAAAAAAAAAAAAACCCTCAAAAGATTACAAATTACTTCTACTTTATCAAACAAATGGTACTCACGTCAACGGATCCAAACACAGGAGCGTCATTTCGATCATCTTCCAGTCCCCCAATTCAATTCTTCCCAACATTTTGACCAAAGAATTCATATTGTGATGCATCAAAGAGTGCATTACTGCAACACAGTTCACCAAGCATCAACACAAACTCAAACACAATTGACCGTACAAATCAACACAACAAGTAGCCCAATTAACAACTTTAACTAACACGAAGTAAAAGAATAAAGAATTCAAGAATTCCGGTAAGTAAATGATAATTCCCAAGAAAAGAAATAAAAAAAAAAAAAAAAGAAATGGAGGCAGAGAGAAAGGAAGGAGAGAGAGAGAGAGAGAGAGGTGTAACCGGTGGAGAGGAGGAGTGAGCGAAGAGGTGGAAATCTTTGCCATCCGATCTCTCCATATTTACAGAGGGAACCAAAACCCTAAAGAATCGAGCGGGGGAAGTGTGAAAGCGTGAAAGTGTCAGTAGCAAGTGGAGAGCATGGTGAAAGAGAAGGGAAGGGAAGGTGGGTTTGGTTGGGATGTAGAAAGAGGAAGGGGAATAGTAGGAGAAAGGAGAGATGATAAAAATGAAAATGAAAAAAGAGACTTGCATTTGCGCGTACAAACTACAACACAGAGACACATGTGCACGCTTAGACAAGGACCTCAACACAACACTCCTCCTTTACAAACAACACCAACCTCTTAACTAATAAATCACTTTTTTTACTTTATTATTTTTAAATATTTTCATTCAAAATAAAAATAAGTATATTTTGAAGACTGTTCGGTTTAGTTAGAGTAAACAATATGTTTTTAAAGATAGTTTTCGATAGGAATCTGAGAAGTTAGTATAATGTGTTGTGATCCTTATCTTTTTTTTAAAAAAAAAATTGGATGAGGAAAATTTTCGATATCAAAAATATTTTGATTTTTAATTATTTTTTAAGAGTCGTTTTTTTATTCTAAAGATTTGGAAGAATTTTTTTTATGGAATTTTAAATTGTGATTTTATTCTACCAAATTACATGGTAAGATAATAATATTAATACCCCAAAAAAAAAAAATAAAAAATAGTTCAATACCTCGTACAATTTAAACACAAGCTAATTAGGATGTAATGAATTAAACTAAAGGGGACTACAGCAGCTCCCCTGAGGTTTGAGAAATTATGGTAGACCCCCTATATATGAAAAATCATCATGACCCTCCCTAAGGTTTTGCAAAATTATCAGTAATAGAATCAGTTAAAATATTAGGCGTAATTTTTGAAAAATAAAAAATACTTATTGTTGATTAAGAGTTGCTTAATTGCATCACCAACTTCCGTTAGACTTGTCATCAGTAGATTTATTGAATAGCATGATCATCGACTACATATATGGAGCCAAAACATCAAATTGGGATTGTCAGAATTGAGTTCACATCGT